GTAACCAGGTGGCATGAATGTCAGGAGGGGGAGGCCTAACCAGTGTGATTGACAACGGAGCAGGACCTGGCACACACAGCTTTGATTGGCAATGCAAAGGAGATTGATGCGCATCTGTTGGCAATGGCAAGCCAACAGTTTTAAGTGACAAGAGATGATATGGTTTATGCTTTGAAAAGCCACATTTGTTTCTGTGTAAGGTAAAGTGTCTGGATTTTAAAAATCATAGATACCAATCAGGCTATGTCTCCCCAAAGTTCTAATTTTTTATTGGTCTATGTAACTGAAGCCTTGGTGGTGCCATGGAATAGGCGTTGGGCAGGCAGCTAAGCAAAGGTCTATGATGTTAGTTATGTCATAATTAGTTGGCATCTAGTTAACACTAACTCAATGGGAACCTTACTGTAATTATGCTATTGATATGGTTGGGTTCTGTCCAGGCAATTTTGACTCTTAGCAATCCTGTGTCCCAGTAGAACTTCTTTCCACCCCCTCCCCCCAGTAGAATTTCTTTATAGGGTTTTCTTGCCTGTAATATTTGAGGCAGGTTAGCAAGGCTAAATTTTCACATTTTCTATTAAAATTACTGTGGGTGGTGGCGGCTGTTTGTTGAGTCAAGTATGACTCATGGGAACTTCATGTCTGCAGAGTGGAACTACCAAACCCAAATCCAAATTGAACCCAACCATGCAAAAAGCAACCAAGTCAATTTCAACTTATTGAAACCCAATATAGGGTTCCCAAGGCTTTGTACATCTTTATGGGAGTAGACACCCTCATTGGTCTCCCAAGAGACTGGTGGGTTTGAATGACCCATCTTGCTCTTAATGCTTACCAGACAGTGGGTAGAATTTCATCCAATAGCATTTTTTTAAGGCTGTGGGTGTAGTGAATTACGGAGTCCTGGTAGTGTAGTGGTAATGCTTTGGGCTGCTAACCACAAGGTCAGCAATTCAAAACCACCAGCTGCAGCATGGGAGAAAGATGAGGCTTTCTATATCCATAGAGTTACTGTGTGGGTGTGGTGAATTGCATGTTGAGCTACTAACTACAAAGTCGGCAGTCTGAACTCACTGGCCACTCCACAGGTGGAAGATGAGGTTTTCTGTTCCCATAAAGATCTACAGCCTTGAAAACCCACAGGGGAAGTTTTACTCTGTCTTTGAGGGTCAGTACAAGTCAGAATTAACTCAATAGCAGTGAGTCTGGAACTCTTGGAAGCAAATTGCAAGGCTTACTTACTAGGTGTCTCTGGGTTGACTTAATCATTAATCCTTTGGTTAGGAGTCTAGTAAATAACCATTTTTTTTCACATCTTGGAATCTATATTAAAATGAAATACATCAAAAGAGACTATTATTTGATTTCTGCATAAACAACAGCTATTGATCCCTCACTTTAGAAATGACTGTTCTAGAGGCAGGATGGAATAAAACAATTGAGAATTAGCAAAAACAATAATAAGACTATTGTCCAGGTGGGAACAATGTTTGCCTAGACTAGGGTGGTAGCAGTGGAACAGTGTATTTAAAAGTTAAAACATTTTAAGAGGCAGTTTTCCCAAGAGTCCTTATAGGAATCGCAGATCTTTACTCAACTGACCCTTGACTTCATTATGCCCCTTTGAAAAGGCTGATTCTTATTAAGAACAGTTGTTGACTTCCTTCGTAGATTGTTGGACTTTAAACACCCTGAAATAGACTAGTCTATATGCATCCATGATTAGCCTTTTTCTTGAAGACTTCCAGGAAAATGGCGTGGGCATTATTGGTACTTTCCCTTCTACTTTGTTGGTAGAATTAAGTGAAGAAGAGCGCTATTGGACTTAATGTGAAAAAGAATACTTGGAGCCAACCTCATCCACATCTGTTTTACCACTTTCTTAATCAGAAACCAAAATGCAGACATTGACAAATGCCCAATCTCTCTGAATTCCCAGGCAAGGGGCTGCAAATGCCTCTACACTGTAGGATGGATTGAGAGAGGTGTCTCTGGAAAGATGAGACTTGTAAACTCTGTGTTGAGCAAACAAACAAACAAACAAACAAACAAATAAATACCCATACAATTTTTCTCCTGGTAGAGCTTTATTTTGAAACCTATTAACAAACCCAAATAGCTGACATTTCAGTAGGGCAATGCTAGATCAAAGCCAGAAAATTCCATTTCATCAAGTTATTCTTCTGTATTTTGCTTTCTCTGGTGGCTTACAAGCTGAGCTGCTACCTTGGAGGACAGTAATTCAAACTCACCTGCTGATCTTACCGAGAAAGAGGAGGCTTTCTGCTTCTTCAAAGATCCAGTTTCAGAAACCCACAAAGGGGCAGTTCTACTTCACACTGCAGGGTTGCTACGAGTCAAAATCGACTCAATGGCAGTGAGTGAGTTTTTTCCAGTCCTAACTTCAGAGAGTGACTTGTCTGGGTCTTGGTTACTTCCTCTGGTTTTCCTCTGTGGGAGGAATTCCCAGACACTATCCCAACTGGACAGGAGGTTAGCAGGGCATAAAAAGAAGGCATTCAGTAAAGGATGCTGCAAAGCTTCGAATACCTTTCTGAAGAGGAAACAGGCTGCCCAAGGGCTTCGACAAAGGGCCTTTGTGATTTGGGGAGGCTGGAAGACTTTGGGGCTCTCCTCTCTTTGTCTGGTGGTGGTAACTTGTCCCACCCAGAGTACCTCTTTCCTAAGAAGGGTGCAGGCCTGGACAGCCCAGGTGCTTTCCGAAGAAGAACCTACCTTTATTAATCACAAAGAGGACCCTCCTTGGTGCCTCTAGGATTTCAAGCTTCTTGATGGGACACCCCAGCATCCTAGCACTGGCACATTTCTTAGACTTCATGGTGATTTGGATAGCCTTTTTATAGCACCCCCCTGGCCTGGAATGATATCAGAGAGGCAGGCTTCTTCTCAGTCAGCATCAGGAAGGGTTTCATTTCTACAGGACAAATACCCGAGCCGAAGGCACTTCAAGATATTTCAGACACGGGAAGCGCATTGTCTTCTTGAAAAAGGCTTGGGTTTTGAGAAATTCTTTATAATTTTCAAAGCCCATTCGCC